CACTCAAGGTCCGCTACCGCTGGCAGCGCGCGCGCGCCCGTCACAGACGTTCAGCGGACCAATGGAAGAGGAGGAACGACTTCCTCGTCCCGCCCCTCGCGGTCTTCCACGCAGCGACGTACCAGGTTCCCTCCCCCACCCCTTTCTTCCACCAATCAGGATCGGCTCCAAGGGAGCGCGCGAGGTTTTCTTCCCCGCCACCCGTTCTCACCGTTAAACGGCTGTGTCTCGCGACAATCCCAAAGTGACCTTTTTCCCCCCTCCGGAGTTCAGTGTGCGCTAGGGGCAGTGGGAGGGACAGGATGCGCGAGGGAGGTGGGTGGGAAGAAAACGCACCTCTTTCCCCGCCTCACGCGCACCCTGGACTGGCTGCGCGCGCACCTGCCTCCCTAAGGAGCCGCTAATGCCACAAGGGCTCTCCTTCTAGCCTTCTTCCTTTGGCCGCAGAAGTAGCCTGGGCGATCTTCCGCCTCCACCCCGACCCTACTTTCCTGTCTGTGGTCTTTCTGTTCCCAGCGCCGCCAGGTCTTGCGGGGAGAAGGGAGTGATATTTTGAGCTGTCGCTTCTCCTTTAAGAAAAAAAGCCCCGTCGGCTGCCGGATGAAAGTCTCTGAAAAAATGGCGGCGGTGGGACGGAGGCGGGGTTGTAGGGGTAGCGAAGACCCGCCCCCTGGCGCCTGCGCAAGGGTAGTTCCACCAAGGGCATTCTGGGAGCTGAAGTCCTATTTATCCTAGGCATTAGGAAAAGCGACAGGGACCGGAGGTGGAAGGGATGCTGGGAGTTTTTGACTGAGTCATGACGGGAACGGTGGTTTTCTCTCCGCACTCCGCGTTTACTTTTCCCGGAAGGCAGCGTTTCCGGGTTGGGCCCTGGCGCCCGCCGTCCATTCGGGCTCAACTGTTGAGCCAATTGCCGGTCAGGGTTGCTTGGGAGGGTTTTTCTTCCTTTTCTCTACTTCGTAGCTTTGGCGTTGGCGTAGCTTTTTCCGGGTGGCTTCGTAACATCCCCTACCTATCTTGGCTTGGTCGGATGACGCCTCTGGCACTCGCTAGCTGTCGTTCCTGTCTAAGTTATTCGTGTCGCCACCCTGTGTCCGGGAGCTCCTGGAGGTCAGGGACTGAATCTGGTTCCGTGGGGGCCTCGGGCCCCAGCACCATGCCCACCACACGCTTGGCCCCTAATAAAATGTGTGAAACGCACGGGAGGTTGCTTTTCTGCCTGACGTGGCCGGGGCACCAAGGGGCGGGCGTCGGTGGCCTCAGCGGGCGGTGGCGCCTGGCCTGGAGGGAGGGCGAAGGGTTGTTCGCGTGACGCCGGTGACCCTGCGCGGAGACGCTGAAGGTCTCGCGCTCCCCGCTCGGAGGGCCCCTGCTTCTACAAGGTTTACGAATGCTTCTGCAGTGCAGAAAGCAGCCAGAACAGCTGCTGTATCTGAAGTTTTCTTTTCTGCCCACCGGCGTGTGCAATCGAGTTGCCTTCCTGATACGTCAAAGGGAGATTCCGTTTTCTCTCCACGATGCAGCTGGCTGCTCCCGTCTCTTCCTTTCATCCGTTGTCATCAAGGAACGATCTGCAAGGGCAGCCCCTTACCCTCGGAAAACAAAGCATGGGGGGCGGGGGGCTTTAAAGGCTTCAGAAGAAAGAAAATGGAAACAAGATCTGGGGATCCGATTCTAAATTTCACATTAATCATTCAGTTAAACCGTAGACAAGCGCTGAAGTACATTTTTCCTTCCGGTATTTTTACTCAGTTGCCTCTTCATATTAGGCAAATGTTTTATATTCTGTACTGATCGTTTTGCACTTTCATAGATCTCATGTCATTTTCACTTGTAACCATTTGGCATAACGTCAGTGGGAATTTTTTAAAAACTGTTTGCAGTGAACAGTTTTGGAACGAACAGCACTGACATCCCATGGCTGTTCTAAGTAATACAGAGGGAAAGTCTCCTTTCCAAAAAAAGTATTACAGACACAATGGGATGGAGAATGAATGAGTGAGTCCTTTAAGAAAAAAAAAAAAAAAGACCACTGTGGGCCGAGTGCAGTAGCTCACACTGGAACCCCAGTGCTTTGAGAGGCCCAAGCAGGAGGATCCCTTTGAAGCCAAAAGTTGGAGACCAGTCTGGGAAACAGTAAGACCCTGTCTTTAAAAAAATAAATTAAAATACCACTGTTGTAGAGAAAAGATTACAAGCTTTGAAGTCAAATCTGGGTTATAGTAAGTAGCAAAACTACCAACTGATTATTATCTTAGCAAGTTATAATTCTTTGAACCTATTTCACCACTTATAAAAATGGGGATGAAATCTATTTCACAGAGCCATATTTATAGTTCTTTACAGAGTGACTTATAGGCCTTTTGAAAATGTTTTATTCAAGGTGAATACAATCACAGTGGTAAAAAGGTGAAAGATTAACCCTCAGTGTTGCTTTTCAGAGAAACTGTTATAAGGGAATGTCACTAAGCAGGGATTATGCTTAACAGAGATGTGTGCGGTTTAGCACCTGGTGTCTTAAACCTTCCGGCTTCATTCTTGTTTGCATTTTGTAACACTGAATAAACTACGCCCTGAGAATTCAAACATATATCCACTTCTCTACTTGTAAGGATGTACAATCTATGCAGAAAAGCAGGTTAGGTTTCTGAATAAATGAAGACAGTAAAATGAACTGGATGCTGTTTTAACTGAAAGAAATTTTAAGGAGGCTTTACTTTCATCTTCCCCCAGATTCACAGAATTTTTTTTTTTAAGAGTTGGAGTCTCACTTTGTCATCCAGGCCGGAGTGCAGCTCACTGCACCCTGCCACTCCAGCATCAACTTTCTGGGCTCAGGTGATCCTCCCGCCTCAGCCTTCCAAGTAGCAAGTACTACAGGCGCTGGCTACCACGCCCAGCTAATTTTTTGATTTATTACAGAGATGAGGGCTCACCAAGTTGCCCAGGCTGTTCTCAAACCCGTGGGCTCAGACAATCCCCTCACCTCGGCCCCCCAAGGTGCTGGGAATTACAGGCTTGAGTCACCGAGCCCAGCCCACAGAATTTTTTTTTTTTAAGGCAAATGCTCAGTGGATTACCTACAGCTGGAAAAAAAAATACAAGGGTAAATCTGCCATTCTCACGAATTAGATAGAATCTTGGCATGTAGTAGGTTCTCAAATTTTGCAAAAAATTGAATCCTTATCACCCTGGCCAATGCATTGCCAGAACTCAAATCTTACTACTTGATTTTCTCTGTCAGCTCCATTTGAAATCTACACACACACACACGCACACACATGCACACGCACACACGAAACGAAAAAGGAGAAGAAATTCACCAAATCAAAAGAGAGGAAGTGTTAAGCAAATACAGGAACTAAAAAGGGTTATACAGGCTGCTTTACACTATCTCATTCAGTTCCTTTGTGGTCCTCTTCTGCAGCACATGCCATAACCTGTGAGACAAGAGCATCTTGAATGTGGGACAATGGAAGAGTTGGGTGAGTGAGTAACTTGAAGGAGAGACTGGCAGAATGAATACTTGGCTGCTGTCTCCATGTGTGTCAGGGTATAAACTTCTGGTCAGATTGAGGGTGGTAGTGGAAGATTTTATTTTCACTTCTCTCTTGTTCTCAGCCCAAAAAAGAATGGAGCATGAGGAACTATGATTGTTATGGGGAACTTTGGGTTCACTATTTGCAGTGGCAAAATAGGCAGAGAGTTGAGAGCAAACCACAGAGTACACTCGGCGAATAATTTTGGACTGAATTGTGATGGAAATTGTCTTTTTATTGTGGACATTTTGCCCCTTGGTGACCACTAGAGATTATAGGGTGGGCACACAGTTAGGCAATTACAGAGATGTGATTTGGAGAGAAAAAGAAAAAAAAAGGGAGGGAAGCATATTATGAGGAGGAAGAAATAGAGCAGAAGTACAAGAACGAGGAATCAGCTGAGGTTGGAGAAAGGCCAGGGTGGTTTCATTTGCTGCATGTTTTGGTATTAAATCAAGAAGGCATAGCACTCTAATGCCAGTGATTTCCTTGCTAAGCTTTTTATTCAGAGGAATTCTGAGGTAACAGATTACTATGGCCTGAAAAAATGATACCTCCTCCTAAGCTGAGGCAATTAAAATCAGCAGTGCAACTATTAGCCGCATTACCCCGAGAGTGTCCTGATTTCAAACCTTTAGAGCAATGTAGGGTTTGCCATTCTTGGAATTCACTCCATAGTCTTTGCCAACTTTTGTTGCCAGCATCCTAACTAACATTGAGTCACTAACTTTTGCCCAGTTTCCAAGCTGTTTTAATTCCACAGTGTCCCAGGTTTGTGTGTGTTTAAGGTATAGGGTGCGTTAAAAGTGCAAACAGCAACAAAACGTATCTTGCACTCTTTTTTTTTTCTTTTTTGAGTTGGAATCTCACTCCGTCACCCAGGCTGGAGAGCAGTTGCACGCTCACGGCCACTGTAGCCTCCACCTCCTGGGCTCAGGCTATCCTTCTGCCTCAGCTTCCAAGTAGCTGGACTATAGGCACGCGCCACCACACCTGGCTAATTTCTTGATTTATTGTAGGGACAATGTCTCAACAACTTGCCCAGGCTGATCTCGAACCCCTGGGATCTGGCAATCCTCTCACCTTGGCCTCCCAAAGTGCTGGGATTACAGGTGTGAATTACTGCGCCTGGCGACATTGTCCTTTTAAGGAAAACAATTTGAAGTGTTACTGAGAACTAGAGAAAAAGAAGAAGGAAGGCAAGTTAACAGGAGGGAGGAAATGTTAATAAAGAGAAAAAGGTGGTTTTTAATAAATATTAAAATGTAAAGACTATTTTGATACTGAGGTGGACTCTATTTTGGACTTGTGGTAGAATCCAGATTCTTATCCTGTATGAATGTTAGGGGAATTTGAATGCTGACCTGAGTTGTACTAGGGTCTTTTTTTTTTTGGTGGGGGTGGGGGGATACCTAATGGCTTTTATGCACATAATTCAAGAGGTAATTAAGGGAACTAATACTTATTCAGTGACTCAGGCTAACACTAGACACTTTTACATATGTTCATCATTTTAGTGTCAGCAAATACTCTCTGAAATAGGTATTATCCATTTTTTTTAAGATGAGAAAACTAACAAAAACAAAATAACTTGTTCAGTGTAACTCCTAGGAGCATCTAACACCAAAACCAATTAAGCAACAAGATGTTCTTCTGTTTTAGAAGTGTGTTGGTTTAGGTGTTTTGGTCAGTGGAATAACTCAGATTTTTTTAAAAGAAATTGTACAGTTTTGTGTTTCCTCAGTAAGATGGGTATTAGAAAAATCTTGTCTGGAAATGTAGAAAATACCAAACAATCTGGAAACTAACACTTTTGTAGATTATCCAGTTAGCTACATCGCAGAAGGGTGTTGGCTGCACTTCAACAGTTTCTTCAAATTGTCTTCAGCCTAATAACTACCCTTAAGACTTGGGGTGGATCTTCTTCCCACCTATAGGGAAATGGCATCAAGGACAGGTTGGCCTAGGTGAGCAAATATGCTATCTCTTCAGTACTGCCTTGGGTGTTAGCCGCTTGTGTCTACCCAGAAGGTTTTTACCTAAACCCTCACTATGTGGGGAGGATAGGCAAAGAAGAACCAGGAGCAGACTCTGGCTCCAAATGAAATCTTTACAACCCATGGGCACCACAAATAGACTTTACTTTCACATTAGTGTTAATATCATTTAATTTCCATAGGTAAAGGACTACAGAGTTTTCAGTCCCACTACCAAGTAATCCCATATTTGGACCTACTCCCCAAGTAATCCCAAATTTGTCATACTGAAATTAGTCATCCTCAAATTACAGAATCTGACAAAAGGCATAACCTCAGGGTGTTGGTGATGTGCACACTCATAGAAAACAGGAAGAGAAAGGCCTTTTACCTGATGACCCAGAAAGGAGAGTTTTAATAACTTGGGTTAGTCGGTGCTTCTGAGAGTAACTCTCTACTCTTAGTCAAATGGTTGCTTCCCTCTTGTAATCTGTATCGTAAATGGCTGTTTGTTTTGAATTCAGGAGGATCTTGGACTTCTGGTTGAAGAAAAGTTTAGAAAATAGAAAACAAAGGGTCTCTACCTTAATTGAGAGATACTGAGTTCTCAATTAATTTGGATTTCTAAAATTAGGAACTGAGTCTGGCTAATAAAATTCTGAGGCAAAAAGTTTTACTTTCTCTTTTACCTTAGTTTTCTTTTTATTTTCTTTACTCTTCTTTTTTAAAACCTCATATTATAGAGATTTTTTTAAAATATGCAAAAGTCAGAGAAAATAGTTTAGTGAATTCTGATATACACATCAACCAACTTAAACAATCACCAAATCTTCACCAGTCTTATTTCATATCTATGCCCTCCCACTTCTTCTACCCTTGCAGTTTCAGATAGCATTTTAAGGTTTTGGCATTAATTTTAATTAATTAATTTTAAATATTTTAGCATTAACTTCTAAACTAAATAAGTATTTATACAAGTAACCATAATATCATTATTTTACCCACAATAGCCTTAATAGTAATTCCTCAATATCATGAAAGACTATTATCCCACCTAAAAACTGAAGTTAAATAATATTATAAAGTATTGTCATACCTAAAATAACAGTACTTATTAAATATCATTGACTACCCAGTCAGTGTTCAGTAGTCTTCTTTCATTTTTTTAAACTTTAAAAATGATCAATAAGGTTCATATATTGAAATTAGTTACAAGTCTCTTAAGTCTCTTTTAATCAGTAGGTTCCCTCTGCATCTTTTTTTTCCATTAGTTATTCGTTTACCCTGAAGAGTTTGCTCAGTTTGCCTATCTCTAAAATGGTGCATAAAAGTCAACATTTTTGTGAGATGGATGATTGAAAAAGATCTGTAGAAGATTTCACTTGTAAAAGATGATTAGATCTATTCTTACACCATTAAGAAATACCCATCCCCCCAAAATCTAAAATGAATGCAGATCTGTTTTTTTTAAATGGTCTGTAAAGTTTATTTTCCTTTTTATTTTTTTTAATGTCTTGATGTTGAGGTTTGTAGTATGTGACCAGTCATTCTGGAAGTTTATTTTCCTTATCTGAGAACTTCAGAGCTATGCAGCTCCTTAGAAATGATATGATTCACTGTTTGCAAACTTTTAAAAACCATTAAGTAGTTAAGAAATACACTAGAAGCTGGGCTCGGTGGCTCAGTCTGTAATCCCAGCACTTTGGGAGGCTGAGGTGAGTGGATTGCCTGAGCCTGTAGGTTCGAGACCTGCCTGGGCAACTTGGTGAGACCTCATCTCTACAATAAGTCAAAAATTAGCCGGGCATGGTAGCGCGCGCCTGTAGTTCCAGCTACTTGGAAGGCTGAGGCAGAAGGATCGCCGGAGCCCAGCAGGTCGAGGCTGCGGTGGCCGGGAGTGGCCACTGCACTCCAGTCTGGGCAACAGAGTGAGACTCCAACTCCAAAAAAAAAAAAAAAAAAGAAATACACTAGAGATTCACTAGTGGGACTTCACCCACAATTTGAAAAACACTGTTTTAATCCAATTGCTTTATTGTGTAGATGAGAAAACCGCTTCGGAGAACATGTCAGGCCCAATGACCCAGAGAATCAATGTGAGAATAGAGACTGAAATTCAAATTTTTAGTTAGTGCAGGGAATAGGGATCAGATAGCCCAGTTTCAAGTCCTGACTCTGCTCTCATGAACCTAACCAAGTTATTTTCATCTTTCTTGATCTACAAAATGAGGACAATAATATAATCTTCCTCAAAGATTAGGATCATCAAATGAAATGTGTAAACTCCTGAGAAGAGTGCCTGGCATGTGTTAATTTTGGTTAATTATTATTGATATTTTTATTATAACAGAAATGTACTAGTATAATACTTGTAAAGTCTATTCGCTTTTCCCAAGAAAACTATAATAGAAATGAATCCCAACTATTTGGATTGAAACACCTTACTTGATTTCACAATATCTCAGTTTTCTCCCAAACCCTTTTCTCTCCACATCCTAAAATACAAAATACTTATACTTTTGAAAATTTTGTTATGTGCTTCGGATAATTCCTGAGATTTAAGATCACACACACAAAAATTAGGATTAAGAATAAATGTTACTTCCCTAATAGAGTTTGAAAAATGGTAACTTAATTGCTTATATTTTTCTAATTCTAAAAATTAGGATTTTTTTTCTAATTGATCTTTGTGGACAATCCACCTATTTAGGGTGAATGATGAAAATTAATATCTGAATATAAGAAGTCAGGTTATAGAATGTGACTTCTGGAAGTAAATGCAACCATAGAAAATAAGAAATAAGTCGGGCGCAGTGGTGCACTCCTGTGATCCCAGCACTTTGGGAGGTGGAGGCGAGAGGATTGCCTGAGCTCAGGACTTCAAGACCAGCCTGGGCAACATAGTGAGACCTTGTCTCAACAATAAATCAAAAAATTAGCCAGGTATGGTGGCACACGCCTGTGGTTCCAGCTACTTGGAAGGCTGAGGTGGAAGGATCACCTGAGCCCAGCAGGTCAAGGCTGTGGTAGCTGTGAGTGTGCCATTGCACTCCAGCCTGGGTGACAGAGTGAGGCTCCGACTCAAAAAAAAAAGAAAAAAGAAAAAGAAAAGAAAAGAAGAAATAAGCCACAATTTGTATGGGAGGGGGAGGGTGGCAATTAAACATCATCACATTTCTGAAGTAAAATAGAGTAAGGGAAGGTGTTTGAAAATAGTCTTAATCCAAGAGAAGAAGAAGATGAATGGGAGCACAGTGGGAATATTTAAGAAGAAAATTATTCCAGAGACTTAAACATTCTATACTATGATTATCTTGTTTCTTATGATGTAGATGCCTTACTGGAGGAACTAGAACGCTCAACCCTCCAGGACAGTGATGAATATTCCAATCCAGCCTCTCTTTCCCTGGATCAGCCTTCTGGAAAGGACAGTAACCTTGCTGAGACTTCAGAGATCCTCCCTGTTCGAGATAACATGAGTCCCTTGCCGGTAACTTTTCATTTCTTGTAGTACTTTAAGGATAGATGTTTGAATGCATTTCTGAAAAATAATTGTATCTCATGTAAAATGATATGAGGGGAGAATCATAGATTTAAGAAAGATAAACTAATCTCTCAATGTTAAATTTAAAATTTTGTCAAGAGGAGGAAAATTAAGAGAATCATCACAGAAGAATGAGCTTTTGAGATCTAAAGTTTTTTCAAATGAGGGCATAATCACAGGCAGAGTATCGTCAGGTTCACTTGGGATATTCTGAGGTTACCATCTGGGCCTCAGAGATGCTTGTTGTCCTTTGACTGGAATGACACTGAGTCAGGCCAGAGAGTACCTGAGAAAGGCCAGACAAGTCTTCACAGGCTGACCTTTTAGGGTCAACACTTTCCAGGTCTTTCTTTCTACTGAATAGATTAGGAAATTTGATTGTTAGTATATGCAGAAATGATGAAGCTCTAGGATCCAAATCAGATTAGCCAAACTCACAAGAGAAGATATATTTTAAAAACCCAGAAATCAAATGTGTTAATTTATGGTTAGAGTTAAAACTTTCAAGTAAAACAGCTATTAGTATTTGCTGGTTATATATATTCTCTACCTATAGATAAGTCTCTATGAACCTACATTATAATTAGAAGGTTGCTTGATAAGAATAGAATTTGTATAAGGGGAATTAAACAGATGTTCTTCACAAGTGATTTTTTTGAACAGTGATATTCTGATTCATCCTCATATATGGAATAACCAGTAGTACAGACATGAAATTTGAGCTCATAGGTAGGTTCTCCTCTGACTGTTCTTCCCTCCAAACACATACACACAGTTTTAAGGATACTCATTTATGTCTCTGCTAGAGAACTACGGTCTTTGTTTTCACTGATATTGGATTTAGTCTTGTTTTTCTGACATCCTATTGACTTTACTTTTTTTCCCAGATTTTCCATTTTTTTGAAGTTTTCTTTTCACATTTGCATTGAAGTAAGCAAGCATGACTTAGCAGGCCTCCATTTGGTTCTTCCATGGTTTCATCTAGCAGTGTGTAAAACACATATGCAGTGAACAGAGTTGTCACTTTATTATGGCTAAATCCAAATGATGACTAAGAATAACTCATCTCTTTTACTGATCCTGTTCAGACAAAACGTAACTGGCAGAAATTTTTCAAGGATAATATTCAGGGTGCTGGCTGTTAAAGCTAAGAACTGAAACACAAGCAGTCAGGGACAGCTAACTCCTCTTATCTTAAGCGGTAGTGGGAAAATTTGTGAGGCTTTTTCCCCTGCTGGTTACTTGGTGAACAACTGCTCATGCCCTGCCACGGTCCATGTGGTGGCCTGTAAGAAGCATGGAACCTCCTCATCAGTAAGAAATAGGGGAAATTGTGGCATAATTTCATATAAGTTATGTGTAGAAACTCTCTTAGCACTTTTACCACAGAGTATAATGTAATCTAAATATTCTTATTAAAGCAGCTTTGTTATTATTTGTCTATGTAAAGCTCTAGCTTCTTGTTTTATTGTTTGGTAAAGCTTTTTAGTTTCACAATGAACCCTTTCAACAGTCAGCTCAAAACAAAACTAAATACAAAACAGCTTGTTTAATTGCTTCAAGAGAGCAGATAACAAATATGTAACTTGCATAAAATATTTGTCAATGTTTGCCATCCACTACTGGGACAAGTAAAGAGATCACTATCCTTTTGAAAACCAAAAGGCACAAATATGATGAAGAAGGATCGGCATCTACTTCTAAAGTTAATATTTACTTTAAGAAAAATGTGACAATTTAACACATATAGCTGCCGGACATTTACGTATTATTGTGAAGCATACCTTTCTGTTCGTATCAAATGACTCTTCTAAATTAATTTTGCTCTTTTCAATTCCAAATTTCCTTGTGCTTGTTTAGTTAACTGGTGATGATTAATAAGTTGATTACCTTTGCAGATTATCAAATAATGCCAGTTTTATTTTAGTGTCATTAGAGGCCAATTTCTTTTTCTTCATCCAATTCAAAGGATCAAAGTAAAACATGTGTAAGTTCATTCTCTGGTCAAAAAATGACATGTCTGATATTGTTAAAACCTTTGTAAATTTAGTTGAAAAGTTCGACATTGAAGATAAAATGTTGTTTTTGTGGTGAGAATATGAGTAAAAATGTTGATGGAGCTCAGCATTGTGATTAAAACAATGTTCTTACTGACTTAAAAACCTGTGAAGCACAGCCAGGCATGGTGGCTCATGCACTTTGCACTTTGGGAGGCAAGAGTATTGCCTGAACCCAGGGGTTCGAGACCAGCCTGGGCAACTTGGTGAGACCTCATCTCTAAAATAAATCAAAAAATCAGCCAGGTGTGATGACATACACATGTGATTCCAGCTACTTGGAAAGCTGAGGCCCATCAGGTCAAGGCTGCTGCTGCTGTGAGAGTGCCACTATATTCCAGCCTGGGTGACTGAGTAAGACTCTGACTAAAAAAAAAAATTAAAAAAAAAAACAGTCGCCGGGCTCGGTGGCTCAGCCTGTAATCCCGCGCCTTTGGGAGGCTGAGGTGAGTGGATTGCCTGAGCCAGCGGGTTCGAGACCCGCCTGGGCAGCAAGACCTCATCTCTACAATAAATCAAAAAATCAGCCAGGCGTGGTAGCGCATGCCTGTAATTCCGGCTACTCGGAAGGCTGAGGCGGAAGGATCACCAGAGCCCAGCAGGTCGAGGCTGCGGTGGCCGGGAGTGGCCACTGCACTCCAGTCTGAGCGACAGAGTGAGACTCCAACTCAAAAAACAACAACAACAACAACAAAAAACCCAAAATCTATGAAGCAGAAATGTACTTGGAATTGGTTGTGGTGTGAACAAATTTTATGACTGCTTCCAAATAAGCTGCATTATTCTACCAATCAAAATAAAAACCGTAATTGTCAAAACTTACAAATAGTATGTGTATGTTATATATACATACACACACAGATTATATAAGTAACTGATCTACAAAACTTTTGTGACAGAAGCTTATATGAAACACTATGGTTCAAAGAAACATGTCAGCATGACTCTATGTATTTTCTTTCTGTTTTGCCTAGTATCAACTGGATTTTGAAAATACCAACTTTGAAAAATATCTCCTGGTCCTTTGAAAAACCACTTTGCAAAGCAACCCAAATTTAGGTTGCATTATGTGCAAAACAAGTTGGAAATCTTTAATCAAACTAATCAATGACTATAGCATAAAAATTCAGTTTTTTAAGCCTTTAACAAGTTATAATTATGCAAAATAAAGCTTGCAAAAAAGAAAAAGCTCAAGTCTCTCTCTACAAAAGCTGGAAAGGAATTGAAAAATCAAAAAATTTAAGCTGATATGGTTTAATTGCCTAATTTGAAAATTGCACTTCAGAAAAATCTTGACTTTGATGGATTTTGACTCCTAATTTTAACTAAATAAATTTTTATTCTCCACCAGAATGGAATGATATTGTGAACGTCCTTAATTTTGCAGTATCCATATTTGGTGAAATGTTAAAATGAATCATAGAAATGAATCATAGACAATTCATAGAAATCATAGAAAATTCATAGAAATGAATCAACTTGAAAGTTTGGTCTTTGGTCTTGTGAGAATATTATTGAAGAAAAGTGCTTTCAGTGAAGGCAGAAAGATAGCATCTGTGAAGATATTGGCCTGAAATATTTACACATTTTAATATAAAAAATAGAATTAGCCAGGCAGTGACTCATGCCTGTAATCCCAGCACTTTGGGAGGCCTAGGGGAGAGGATTGACTGAGCTCAGGGGTTCAAGACCAACCTGGGCAACTTGGCAAGACCCCATCTCTACAATAAATCATAAAAAAAAAAAAAAATTAACCAGGTGTGGTAGTGCACACCTATAGTTCCAGCTACTTAGAAGGCTGAGGTAGAAGGAGTGCCTGAACCCAGGAGGTAGAGGCTGCCGTGGCTGTGAGTGTGCCACTGCACTCCTGCCTGGGCGACAGAGACTCTGACTCAAAAAAAAAAAAAAAAAAGCAAAGAAAAAATAGAATAGAGGAGATTCTCCATTTAGCTGAATTTGCTCTGAACTTACAGGTTTATCGCCATCTGGAGAGAGATTGTTTTCTTAAAAACATTACAATCTATAGAGAAGTATCAATTAAAAGTGTCAACAATTTCAAATATGTTAATCATAAAATGCAGCTTTAATGAAGATTGTAATTTTATGAAAATAATAATACCATATTGGATAAAAAATCACATTTTAGAAAAATGTCCACATTACAATGTTAGAGACAGCAATGACTAAGTAGACAATTAAAATATGTGACTATATATTGAGAATAATTATTAGTGACATGAAAAAATGTTCAGATAATATCAGTTTTTGCAAGTGTTTATTATCAGAACTTATTTAAAAATATTTTAGGAAAATTTTATTTTGAAAATAACTTTTGAGTAGAATTATTTTATAGGTCCACCAATATAATAAAGCCAAATTTGGTGTCAATAAATACATTTTTCAAAAATTATATGACGTGAATTATTTTTACAGCGCTTTTTCACTCTTAGATATGTCCCTGTTAGAACAGTAAATTATATGGTCACCCTGTCTGCATGGTCTGGCCCCTGTTGCTCTCTGCCCTGTCTCCCTGGTTCACTCTGCTTGGGTCACACTGGCCTCCTTGTTGTTCCACACATGCTCCTGGATGCTATCCCTACTCTCCCTCCCACCTGGATCATGTTACCCCAGATATCTACTTACTTTCCTCACCTCCTATAAGTCTTTGCTCAAGTGTCCTCTTCTCAGAGAGTGCTTCCTTGATCAATCTATTCATAATTGCCATCTTTCCCCCACTTCCCTTCTTCTACCCCCGATTAATTATATATATAATTATCTGTTTCTCACCACCAGAATGTAAGCTCCAGGAGAATACAGTTTTATGTGACTATCTTATTTTTTTTTACTGCTATATCCCCAGCCCTGGCACATGACAGACACTCAATAAATATTCATTCAATAAATAAATAAATTTCTCACCAGTCACCCTGTAGATTCACACATTATTTCTTTTCATAAGTCAAGTTTAATCATATTATAGTCTTTCCCTAGATACCATTCTGTCTAGTTAAAGGGGCTTTGCACTGACCCATTTTGTTTGTTTTATGGTTGGTCTCTATTTCAGTGCTTTTTGTGGAGGGAGAGGCTAATTTGTTCACATGCCAACGGCTGTTTAGAATTTGGCCTTTCTCTGCGGGATGGCTGATAATTCCTCTGGCTTACAAAAGGAGATCTCAGAGATATGATAGTTATCAGTCTCTTTTAGAAACTTCAAACATCCTCTAACTTGGTGTTGATAAGCATCAACATTCTAGTAGCAGAAATTCATTTTTTGCTCTTCTCTGTTACTTATGTGTTTTAGGCGCAGCTCGTGTATACGACCAAAATCCAGAAGCTCAATGTCTACAGGTATTTTATTATTATTATTAAGCACTTTAAGAAATTAAAGTTAGTAGACAATTGCTACCAATCTTTGTTTGGGCAATAATTTGCTTTGCAAATGTTTATTGTTGGAACTCCCTCATCTTCCCCTTCTTTCCATAATCTTTGAGGAGAGGTAGAACCCTGTTAAGCTGACTTAGCAACTGTTCAAAGTGCCTGGCTTCTAGATGGATTGTCCAGGCTGGTGGGCTCTCCTATTTTCTTTGCCACCTGAAAAAGTGTAAATACTCCCAGATTCACCACACATGTTTTGGCCCATCTATTTCAGATACCATGTTCCAGTTTGCAAAAGAGAAAACATATCCAAAGAAACTTATGCAAGGTTCCAACATCAGAGCTAGGATGAGGGCTATACTAAGGCAGTGGGTCCCTAGGGCAGACTAATGAGTATATACTTCTTTCCATATTAGCTCAAAATATGTTTAGTGGATAGAGGGATTTTCTTTTAATAAAAGTTACATATCGAAACAGAGTCAGCTTATTAAATCATTTCTCCTGGCTAAAGCAGAATTGACAGTCTGAAAAAATAAAAAAGACACTTTTCTTATTCTCTCTTCAGTTATAGCTTACAATTTTTAACATCCCAGACAGTTTTCTGGGGAGCAAATTAAAGGTAGAAACATAGATAGTAAAGATTCATGCTTGTTAAAGAGTACTAAACTACATTTTATCTGGTTTCAGAATTGCAGCCAACAGTGCGCACACAATAAGGCAAAAATAAGGGATGGATTTGTGCTACAAGAAGTCTTTTTAAAACTTCCTACGTGAGGGCACGTTCTGCTTGGTGGAAGTGAGGCCAACTTATTAATACATATTGCCAATTTATTCTAGTGCCAGGACTTGATGGGGTGAGCATTCTTCCTAGTCCCTCCCTCGTGCCCTGATAAAAAAATCAAAACAAGCCGGGCTCGGTGGCTCAGCCTGTAATCCCACGCCTTTGGGAGGCTGAGGTGAGTGGATTGCCTGAGCCCGCGGGTTCGAGACCCGCCTGGGCAGCAAGACCTCATCTCTACAATAAATCAAAAGATCAGCCGGGCGTGGTAGCGCATGCCTGTAATTCCGGCTACTTGGAAGGCTGAGGTGGAAGGATCACCGGAGCCCAGCAGGTCGAGGTTGCGGTGGCCAGGAGCGGCCACTGCACTCCAGTCTGGGCAACAGAGTGAGACTCCAACTCAAAAAAAAAAAAAAAATCAAAACAGAACAACAGCATAACAGTGCCTGGCACACAGTAGGTTCTCTACAAATATTTGAATTCTTAAATCTAGAAAACCAGACTTCAGTAGAAATACAAGTGATTGCATAAACTTGTAATATGAAAACCAGCTCAACCCACAGCTTGTATATCTGGCACTGTAATCAGTTGGTGGCACATAAATACTAACTTATTGACAATCTTTTTCTCATACTGTGAGTCTCTGGCCTGTTTCCCATCACTTTCTCCCTCATCTCTTGCTCTTCTGGGGAACTGACCCCTTACAGGATGGGTATTTCGGGCTCCAGGGTCTGGACATAGGCTTTCATTGGCTTCAACCAATAGAAGGCACTGTGGAGAGACTGGAGGGTGAAAAGCAGGGGCATACAGGGTATTTCCTCTCAAGTAGTCTCTCCACAGTGTCTCTGTCAGCAGTTGTATCTTCTTTATGACTTCTGCTGGAGCAGGACAAGCCTGCTGTGGTTTCAGCTTCCGCCCCTCCCCTGCCCCCCAGCCTGGGTCCCTTGCTCTAACAACTTTTCCTCTTTTCCTTGTACCTTTGGCTTAAGGGGTGTTAATGACTTCCTGCTGTGGCTAAAATAGGTTACTTCAGTGTCTTCTGTTTTGCTTTGTAGCACTCCAGTCACCTGTGTAATCAAGTTTCTGGACAAAGTTCCTTCTGTTTACTCATAAATTTTGTGTTTACCTGACTGGACTTTGATACACTTCCCATTAATAAATGATGCTTGCTATGTAGGTCTATGTGGAAGAGTTATATAAAATCCAGTGACCTGGTAAATACGTAATAGACTGATACAAATCCTTGAAGCTAGTACAACTCTGAGCTGACAAGCCTAGCAAGTACTAACAATATTAGACCCAGAAACTTGACTCTTGTATTATTTCTGTCATCTATTCTGGCTTGCTTGAGTGAACCGAACATTGCTTTCAATATATCTTGAAAGTATATTTATTCAATACTAGCTGTGGGTATAGCAATGGAATAATATTTCTCATACAGGTATACGTCAATAGCAATATGAGCAACACTTTGGAAATGTATCTTTCACATGAACAAAAATAATTTTGATAATAATAGGGAGAAGGAACTTTATAAAAATATAACAGGGAAATAAATAGGGGGAAAATCCAGCACAGTGAAGCCCCTTACTTAAGAAGTCTGGATTTTTTAAAATGCATCTCTTGTGATTTGTATTATTAAAATCTTTGAGCAATGAAATAAGTCATTGCTGGTGACATAGCCAAGCATCTTTACTATCTTTAAGGGTCAGGGACAAATCAAAGTACTTCTGATTTGAGGTTCCTCTCTTTTCAGGAACATTTCCTACAGCGGGTACTTCAATTTGTAATCAAGATCTCTCATTTCTTATTTATAACTTTATATTGTTGACTCAATAATTAGTAGGTTTTTATAATCATGATCTATTTCCCTTTCTTTGTACACTGCACTAGGACTAATTAAAAACCAATAGAAATTCTTTGAATAAGCGCAAGCACGTCCCAACTGTGAGATGGAAATCTACGAACCCTGATAGAAACTACATTTATTCTACACATGGGCACAGAGTGGCAGAATGTGCTTACAGTCCTGCTGCCTTTTGTATTTCCGAGGCAACAATTACTAAGGGGTTATGACAGAAAGAATTGTGAGGGAAGAGCTCCTCTGTACCTTCTTGGAAACTTCCAAGAGGGATTGAATCAGTCATTTGAATACCTGACCATTTTTGCGCCCAGATTATAATTAATTTAAAAAAAAAAATCTTCTATCTGGTAGAGGGCCATGTTGTACCTAAAAGATAAAAATCTTTCATTTTTACAGAGGACGATATTCATTTTCCTCCTGAATTTTCCTTATTGTTAAATACTCAAGGTTAAGTCACTCAGCAGTGGGACAGTCTTTTTTTAAGAGAGAAAGTTATCCATTTTTTTCCTGACTAGCAAATACATAAGGATAAGTAAAGTAATAAGTATATGTTTGCATTTTTGAAAACATATTTAGTGAAAGACAAAATATTTACTTTTACTTATGGTTTTGACTCTTGTGTGTGAGTGAGAAAGAAAGAGAGAGAAAAATAATGCTCTAGCACTTGTGAAAGGGAGGATTTGGTTTGGTGGTTTGTTGGCTAAGCTCTCTTGGTTAATGTTGTTTACAAACATGACTCCACAGTAAGTTACTTGTTCATACCTTTTGGCATAGTGATTCCACTTCTTAAAATTTATGGAAATAATCAAAATATGGGTGCAAATATTTTCTAGTAGTATTGATTATAATAGCAAAAATTAGAAAAACAACCTAAGTGTCCAACATTAAATTACTGGTTTAATAAATTATATACATTATAAATTTGAAAATTATACAACCTTTAAACATTATTTTGGAAGACAGTGTAGGTGAGAAAGCACAAACTTCAGTCTGCAGGTCCAAAATCTATTATTTGTCAGCTGTATTATGTATAAAAAAGTATTCAACTTCTCTAAGCCCCAGTTTTTTCATCTGAGAGTAACAATACCTAGCTCTTAAGGTTGTCATAAAGATTTAACAGAGAATATGTAAAGCTTTTTACAGAGGACCAAGCATAGTATAGACACTCAATAAATACTAGCTGTTATAGTTGCAAAAGATGGAAAAGTATATGCATTACAATAGGAAAATATATCATTTTAATTTTCTAAAATTACACACAATCATAGAAGAGAATAATGATATCATCAAACTGTACAGAGTAATTGCCTGCTGAGAGGGAGATTATGTGTGTTAAATTTTTTCTTTATATTTCTCTGTAGTTTTCAAATTTTCTACACTTAACTATATTAATTTGATATTTAAAAATGATTTTAAATAGGAACTCTACACTGCTACTCTATGTGGGTAGTTTACTGAAGGTTGTTCACAGAATCCTTTTATATAAAAATATGTGTGCATATTTAATAACTGAGATTTACATGTGAATTACATACTGATGCCTCATCTGCCACCCCCACCACTTTATCTGTTGGCCATATGTGTTAGCAGTTGTGCTAGTATAGACGGCCTTTGTTTTGTTTTAGAAATATAACTTTAAGATACAAAATTATTTCATAAACTCATGTGTGTAAAAAGTTAAAGAATTAGGAGACATATAGGGTAAAATATTAGGCCATCCCCTTTAAAGTCTTGCCTCCCACCAACTTATGACCAGCTCTATAGGTAACTGCTGTCAGGGACTTCTTTTTAACAGACCTTCATGTTTGCATATTCATACTTATGTACATGCACTTATAAGTTCATATACATGAAAGAATATTTTTCATATTGTTTTTGGGAGTCTTTCTTAGTTCACATAAATCTATATCTGCATTCTTTTCAGCAGTTAAGTGTTATTCTATAGCATGGATGAACCATAATTTATCTGTCTCTAGTTCCATTTAGTTTATTTTCAATTTGCTCATAAAATCTGTACTGTAATGAATGTCTTTGCACATATATCTTTATATACATGTCCAATTTTTCTGTAGGATAGAGTATTGGAAGGGAAATTGCTGAATTAAAGGATATATACATTTGAAGTGTTGATAGATACTGCCTCACAGAGATTCTTATAAATGTACATGACTGCCTATGGTACATATAAATCTGTGTATATGTATAATCCTGACTTTTGCCAACATTGCATATTGTCAGACTTTTAAAATTTTGACTATTAGGTAAACATTTTTATCTTACCGGTTTAAATTCTGTATTTAAAAATTAATGAGAATGAGCATATTTTAATTT